TCCTCTTGTCTGGATGGGTTTCCTTTGGGCACTCTGGTTTCCTGCATCAACCCAAAGCATGCATCATAGGTCATATCCTCCAGCGCAGGTAGTCCTGACCTAGCCTGATTCATCAGCCGCTTTCACTTCGTGAAAACCGTCTGGCCTCGCAGCATTAGAATTCGTTCGCTCAACGGTAGTTGGGTACTTTTTTAATTTAACCAATCGCTGCTATTTGGTCGTGATGTATGTAATGCGCTGCTAATGGGTATAACTGGTATATTAAGTTTTCCCAAAATCCCGCAGGAAGAAGGGCAATAACGTCTTTTCCCTTGATAAAATTCACCAAACATTCTTTTTGTTCCGGTTTTAAACCCTCGATCTCGCAAATTGTTGCCAACACAGAATGTATGGCTCTTCTATTGGTTGGTGCCCGAACTCGCACTTCCTGGGTTCTTGCGAACCGTCCAGTGTGTTCTGATCTTTGACCTAGTTGCTGGAGAGACATGAAATTGAGTGGAGGCACTACGTGGTGCCAGCCTGGTTAGTCCTGACCAAGACCATCTTAAAAGCTCACTGTGCTGTGGTGCTCACTGCTCCTGAGGAGATGCTCCAGAGACACTGAAGAATGAAAGAATGAAACAATAAAGTGTTTTAAAGTCATCTTAAAAATGCAAACAAGAAATATGCACAACGGAAATTCCAATCATGAAAAAACTTGACCAAACTTTAAAAATCACAAAATATTTTTCGTATTTTTAATTTTATTATAAATAGTAATGATAATGCGTTTGTACACATGACACCAAGTCAAAATGCTTTGTCGAATAATACAAAAAAATATATCAAATTATGAAACGTTTTTGTCCTTTAAAAACATACCAAACCATAGACTGCTTTATATCTGCATAGTCTACTACTGTAAATAAAGATGGACTGTATTGTAAAGTACTGTGCAAGAGACACAGTATTTGAAATAATAACTGATTCATGCTTGGACAATTTGCATTTGACCTCTTTCAAGAAAACATATTCGTCTCCCATTGTCTCGAGATATTCGCAGCAAGTGGACTTTTTAATACAATTTGTGATAAAAAAAAAAAAAAAAAGAAAGCATTTATTCAGTCTCCTACTACCACACTTTTCAACAGATGGTCCAAAGCTGCTACATTTTCTGTTATCCACTCTATTGTCTAATTGAAAAAGATTGCGTTAGGGAGGGCATCTGGTGTAAAACTGAAAAATCAGTCAGCATTAAAATTTGGCTGATCAGTTTCCATTCTTTTTCATGACATACCATCATATAAAAGTAAAAAAAAATATATAGGAATGTAGTTGTGGGCTGAGCATTGGACAGGATCATACAGATAACCATAAGGAGGGCTTGAACAGGGCCCTGGAGAGATCCCTTAATGACTCAAACATGCATGGATGACATTTAGAACCTCTTCAGGCGTGTATTTTGCATAATACTTCATTTAAAATCTGTACAAGGTAGAATTACAGACTGCGGTCTTCAGTTTATGTTAGTTTAAATGCAGTATCTTACCATTCAAGATTCTCTATTTTCTCTTAATACAAGTTTAAATAATCAAACTTTACTTTAGAAATTTTGATTTTAAATTTCAGGAATGAATTTATTATAATGTTTTTTTCTGCATTTGTTTGTATTGTAATTTTATTGCAGCCTTTTTGTTCACTTTGCATGACTTTGTGTACAAAAAGTGCTCTACACTGCTCCAAACTGCCTAATTTGAATATGAATTTGAGTTTACACAAAAACAATTAAAGTGATAGTACGTAACTTTCTAGGGGTGGACAAGTTTTTCTATGTTTTACAGTGCTATACAAACATCCATAGTGGAAAAACATGCTCTATTTTTTGGCCAAAAGGTAACAAAGTTGAGTTTTAAATATAAGGATTGTACCAGCACAATTTGAGTGTGGTAAATAGGTCTACTTTATGCATTGGCCTTTTTAAATTTAGTTTTCCACAACAAATAATGTTACGAACAAATGTTTGTATGTCTTTGAGGTGAGGAGTTTCCAAAGGCACAAATGACAACAGTGATTTAAACTCTTATAAGACTTTTTTAGGCACAGCTAGTTGTATTTTCTTGATTTTAAAGATCAATATATTACTCAAAATTAACTCTTTTGAGCTTTAAGTCACATTATAATGCTGTTACCTCATCAAAAACATACCTGGAGTTGTGTTTTGTTTCATTCACACATGTTTGAGAAGCAATTTATAATTAGTGTGTTGACATTTCCAAAGCTTAAAATGCTCTGTTCCTCTTTGTGATGTCATGTAGTGGTAGTTTTCAAGTTAACAGCTACCCTTTTAACTTTAGTTTTTAGTAATTTGCTTGTTTTAAACATGTGTAAATGAAACAAAACACAACTCCAGGTACATTTGTGATGAGATGAGGAAACAACATTATAACATAGATCAGGAAACGTTGTAGTCCAGGCCCTTTAAGGTTTTTGTTATTGAAGTTTTGGTCAACCGCTGCTCGTCGGCCGTCTCGGATCGACTCCCCGGCTCTCGCGTGTCTCCTGGTCGTGACTTGTGACCCGTTTCCTTTCTTCGGCGCAGAAAAAGCTCTTAAAAGGGGTTCGCCTGTTTTTAGTGCGTGATCGATCGTGCCTATCCCCGCTTTAAAGCCACCTCCTCATCTGTCACTTTCCTTGCGCTGACCTCTGACCTTTGAGAGTCCTAAGTTAAAACTACAAAAGCGTCCCAAAACATCAATGAAAACAGAAGACGGAGAGAGAAAGAGGAGGGGGAGAGGAGAGGAGGAGGAGGCAGAGGAATGTTGAGTACCACAGCTGCATTGGAGATTAAGTAGGAGATGTACTTGCTGTTTAAGTCAATTTACAAGTATCCATGCACTTCCTTAATGACATATTACAGTACATATTACTTCATAATTGGAGTTGTTGCACTGAAGGTTTTGCACTGTTGTTCTGTCCATATGGTATTCAAAGTCTATTTTAATTTACTGTAGTTACTGTAATTATTATTTTATTCACTCTTTTATGTCGCGCCGTACCCCTGAAGAAAGTAAGTTTGTTATTTTGTTCACTGACAATTGAAATAAGAGTAAGCACTCAAATGTCTAAATAAATCAAATATGAATTTCTGGAATTGCTGAAAATGGTTACTGTCTACCATTATTCTCTAAAACACCTTGATGGAAATGTCTCTACCGTATTTTTTGGACTATAAGTCAGATTTTTTTTCATGGTTTGGGTGGTCCTGCGACTTATACTCCGGTGTGACTTATATGTTAAAATGTTCTCAATGACAGCCAACAGAGGGCGCTCTAGGCTTGTGTGCCAGTATCTGCTACCCCTATTACTCCTGTACCACTGTCACTTCACTCTACTGTGCATGTCTCCTGCAGAAAGAGCCGTTTTCCTGTCTGTATCATGTCAGTCGATCGCACCATTACTTCTGTACCACTGAAATTTCAATTTAAACAAACTTATAAAGACGACTGAGAAGACTGAACACAAACGCCCCCAAAAAGAAAATCATATTCTGCAGATTACAAGCTGCAAGTAGTAAAATATGCAGCTGAAAACAGTAATCGAGCAGCAGAAAGAAAGTTTGGCGTGACTTTTTGAAGTATACACATTTTACATGGGTGGAACCGCAGTTGCAGGAACCATAAAGAATCAAAAATGAATTTCTGGAAATGTTAAAAATGATTGGACACTTTGTAACTGGTTAAATTCTCTGTTCTACCAGTCTGGCTAAGGCATATCAGGGCTGCAAAAACTCTACATGATTTGCAATTATTTTATTTTATAAAATTTTTTGCAGTTCATTACAATTATTCTTGCAATGAACTGAAAAAAATGCAATTGCTGTTTAGTTTATTTCAGCTTCCTGTTATATGGAATTTTGAGGAGGAATAGGCTCTATTCATGCTTACGTCATAAACCAGGAAGACGTTTGGAAAGATGCGTTGACAACTTCCAGTTTAGTTACCGACACTGGCCTTGCCTAACACGGATTTATTAAAACAGACAGAGATAAAACCTAGTGAAGTAAATGACATCAGCAGTAAAATGAAGACTGCATACGTATGTGCTGTTTGGAATAACCTTGAATTTGGCGCCCTCGTCTCTTCTAATCGCATGTACCCAGTGCGCTTAGAGTTGTGTGTCAGTGGGGAAATGATGAAAACTGAGGTACGGTTGTAACTGTTGATTAGCCGAACATAACGGAACACTACAATGACGTGTAGATGAAGAAAACTGGGCCTGGGAAGTTGTAATCGCATCTTTCCAAACGTCTTTCTGGTTTGTGAAGTAAGCGTGAATAGAGCCTATTTGGGCAGACGGCTCCATTGACAGGTTTGAACTTAATTTGGTGGGACAATACTTTGCGTAAATATAAATTATAGTTTTAAACAAATCAAGATGCAATTCGTGAAGAAAAGTTGAAAAAATTTACAGGAAATGGAGAGTTCTATTTCAGAGACTTCTGCATGGATGAATGATGAACATATTGAACATTTTAAACCTAAAAAATGAGTCTCTAACTGGTCATAAAATATTGAATGACAGTATTATCAAAATGGCAGATCGTTACCATGACAACACTATCATTCCGCTCTACAATAGGTCCTGATGGCCACAATGTTGCCTGCGTATAACAGCAAGTATATCTCCATGTCTCTCCAAAAATGAAAGCAGCGTTTGGCGGTCAGAGTTTGGTATCCGTTTCAGTTCAAATAACATCAACAAAGCCCTTTTTAGACCCCCTTTAATATGCATAAACTGGGGATGTATTTGGAAATAATTCAAAATATTCTCGCTGCTGCTTGGCGTATAGACAAAAAAAAAGTTCCTTTAAGACTTCATGTTTCACTGTTCAAAAGTACAGGGTCTTTCTTCCTTTGTATAATCCTCCATTTTGAAAACACATGGTCCCATATTTGTCTGTGCATCCCTGGAATTTCAGTCCAGACTTTGGTCCTTTTTCGGATCCAGGTGTGGTCCGGCTTTTAGGTGATCTCTGGCCTCAAATAAGGAAGGGCACCTGTGGAAATGCAAAGAAACAGGTGTGAAATTATTACCAGAGAAAAGGGGATAGACAGAGAGTGTATAAAAGAGATATATAGCCGTCATAAATCTAAGTGCATGTTTTAGCGTTTAGCGTGTAGCTCCAGTAACATGTGGACCGTGTTAGCGTTAGGTGTTAGCGACATGTGCTAACAGTGATTTGGGTGTAGAGATAGAGTGAAGTGTGAAGTTGTTGATATATCGACAATTATTGGAATATATATTATACAACTTTTTGATATAAGTGATAATTTACAAATAGCTTTAGATTTATTATAACTGATATTTCAATGTGGCATCTTGTCCTGTGTGCATGGAGATGTTATTGCTTTGTCTGGAAAGTTCCACAGTATTGCATTCAACTTATCTATTTTGGATTTGTTACAGATGTTTTTATTGCTCAAAAACTCCTTAAAAAAACATACATTTTAACTGAACAGATCTGACCTGTAATTTGTCCTGGTGACATAATGTTATCTGTTTGTTTCCCAGGAAGATACAGGCGTAATGCCAAACAGTGTAAATCAATCAAATCTCCATGGAAACAAACGGATGAGAGAGGCTGCACAGTATATCTTTAAATCAATATATCAACACTTTTTAAAAACATATATTTTATCCAAACCTGTTAATATACTCCAACTTATGTACTTAAATTATAAGAATTTCGTAAAAAAAAAAATGTATGTATGGGCATTAGAAGTGTTTAAAATAACAAGTTTAAAATAACTGGAAAAAAAAAAAAGAAGCATATATTGAATCTCGATCAAATATCCTGTAGTTATTGAATATTATGGTAGAAAGGTTTTGTAATCATACTTTTTTATTAAGACTAAAAGTAAATGTCAAATAAGTAGTCTGTTGTATTCCTCCAAGTGCCCAAAACACACGGCAGTGATGACTTACTCGTGGGTTTTAGCTTCCTGTTCTATGCAACCGTTAGAGGACTTTTCTCATCCAAACAATATAATATTTTGTTTTAAATTATTCATCGTTTTGGCAAGGGTCCTAATTACATCAATCTGAAACCAGTGAATAGGAACAGACACAAACCCAAATAAAAACACTAAATGAATCAACACATTATAGTCCAGTCCGGATCCTGGTCTAGAACAGGATCGGGAATCACAGGCTCCATTGAGATCTAATACTGTACATGATACATGGCTCACGATATGATATTATTATGATATGGCCATACTTTTTTTTTTTTTTTTTAGTTCAGGGAATACTCTTATTTTATTGTAGAGCAACCTCTATAAAAATGTGTTTCTTTTTTTTAACGTCACTTCTCTCACTTGCCATATTGTGTTAAAGGTGCACTATGTAACTTTGCCGCCCTCTTTATGGAGATAAGATCACAAATCCTGGAACTGAAAAAGAAAATGTAATTTTCTCAATTGGCCTTAAGTTTTGTTGGCGTGAATAGTTTTCATCACTCACATAAGCAGCTTCTTCAGTTACAGGATACTAGTAAATTCACTTTTTTTTCCTTTCCTTTACCGACCATAACAGCTTGTCAAAGTCTGATCCCGTCAGATCTCAGAAGCTAAGCCGGGCCTGGTTAGTACTTGGACGGGAGACCACTGGGAAAATCAGGTGCCACAGTGAGGCGCCAGTCACCAAAACTGTTATTTTGTGTCCTTAGGCAAGGCACTTCACCCGCATTGCCTAGTAAGAAAGTGGAGTGTACGTGGCAGTTGGTGGTGGCCGTACTTAATTAATTTACTTAATATTTAAAAAGTGGAATTAAGACAACAGTTATTAAAATGCAAAAATTAAATGTTGGAAATGTTTTTGTCCTCCTCCACCCCCATCAGTTGCAGCAATATATCACTCTGTGCTCTCATGCTGTTTTTTAAGAACCAAACACATTTTAGCAACAGTAATTCTTTAATATAAAATACATCTAGTATAGTCATCAAAACAGTGAATATGTCAAATGTACTGCATAAACAAGTTTCATTTTACTAAATAAGCATCAAATTTGTAGTGTGATCGCAACAAAAACTGCTAAAAGATAACAAAAATATGACATATCAATACAATAGCCCACGATATTGATACTGTATCACCAAATTTAGTATCAGGATGTATCAATATTTCAATAGTTTTGCATACCCCTAGTTTAGATCCTGGTCTAGAACCTGGTCTAGTTTCAGTCTATGGTCTCCGAACTTTGGACTCTTCTCCCATGTTGACCTTATAACACTAGCACCTGTTTCCAATATCCACCCTGCCATAGGCTATTAGCATCTGCCCCCCACCCCACCAAAACTACCCCAAAAACTGCCCCGAAAACTCCTTCGCTCCCCTCCGCACCCAACCACACACCCGCTATCCACTCGCTGATTAATCAATTCAAGACGGCGCTAACAAGGTATAGCAAAGTATCAGTGTATCCCTGTACTTTAGTTCTATCTGTATTGACTGAGCATTCTACTCTTTCATTTGTGATTTCTAACCAAATTATTTATGTCGACATGCGCAGCTTTCAGATATTAACTACGCTATTAATTTGATACCCAGTCCCCATTGCAGAGATCTTTGAAGGCCTAAGTTGTTGTAAAGGGTTGCTGAGAGGTCATGGGATGGACAAATCTGATTGGTGCACCCCCTATGGACCGAAATTGGACATGGCGGGTACTGCAATCACACGACGTCGCTTTACAAACTCAGATCTTGTTTGAAGTGGATTTAAACGGTGATTTTAAGTGAAAGGCCTTCTCAAATGTAGAGACGAAATGACAAAAAGCGAAATCGTAGCTAACTGGATCTTTCTGCTTGAACACTGGCTTGATTGCTTTAGCGTTGCAATCAGATGTGAACAATTAACCCCAACACTTGTGGCCGCGCGGTCGGGCTCGGGGAACATGCTACGCTACTGCAACGTGCAACCGCAAACTGCAATTTCAAAATACGATAGGTGAGTTTACATTATGTGCAATGAGGCGCAGGATCACTCACGTACTGCTGATGCATCTAATGTTATTCAGATGTTAATGCGACTTCAAACAGAAATTTAACGTCACTTCATGTTTTTAAAATTGGCCAATATTTAGACTTTTAGATTTAGATTTTATTTTTCTTGTCTACAAAATTGTGAAAAAAATATGTATTCAAATTCCTATTCTATAAAGTGACTGAAGTAATACATGAGATTCTGTTTCAAAAATATACTTTTATTCTTGTGCCGCCTAAAAATAAGAAATCCTAATTATCCTGATTGGGATTTGAATGGTAAGCTCTATAGTTTATGGGCACATCATAAAAAAAACATACCCATATCACCAATGATACAGCGATCACAATACTAAATAGGGCTGTGCAAAAATATCAAAATATCTTTTAATGTGATGATACAGTATCGATATCATGGGCTGCTGTATCAATATATTAGAAGAATATTTTTTGGTATATTTTACTAAAATTATTTTGTTACAGTGCTACAGTTTTGTTGCTTGTTTAGAGAAAGGAAACTTGTTTATGCAACACATTTGACATTTTCACTGTTTTGATGATGGCCATTTTTCAGATTCATTTTGCACAAGAAGTGGTTTAACAAAGACTTTAATATCACAGCCATGATTTAGCCTTTATTTTTTACTAAACTGCATCGAATCGTTTTGAAATCTATCGTACCGAATCGAAAGTGCACTGTATCGAGGTATGTATCACATCAGGGTCCGGTCAAGCGGTAACGGAGGGAAACAGGGGCAGATTTTTTACATTCAAATAGCTCTTATTCAGAAACTAGAGGGAATAAATAAGGTATCAGAATGTAGGAAAGAGTTAGCACTCCAAGAGGGTAAAGTTAACCCTGCAATATTCTTTCAAGTTGTTGACAAAAAATTTTAAAACTCATGTCGGTAACGGAGGGAATGAAATATGCAGCACTTTTAACGAATAACACAAGATATGATGAAATACATCAATTTATTTACATGATTTGCAAATTTGGGAAATAATTTTTGTTCCATGTTGCATACATGGTCTGTTTAAAATGTATGTAACTTTAGAGCCAAACATGGTACAGAAAAAAAGGTAAACGGTTTCATAAACTAGAGTACATATGTATCTGTTGAATACATTTTTATATTAGATGCATTAACTTGAATTTTTGGCCTTGCTGTTTACTTCTGCTTGGCTGGGCCCATCAGCAACTTCTTAATGATACCTAATACTAACATAGGATATTGAATCCAAACCCTGCTTTTACCAGTGCATATCGTTGTTGTGCCCATGGGCAATACACTTAACTCACTTTGTCTATAGTATGAATATACTGTGTTAGTACTGCATAAAGGATTATATAATGCACACTCGGTTAATTGAATTCATTTAAAGTTATTATGATTAAAGCAGATTGGCAGCCTCGCGTCTGTCAGTCTACCCCGAGGTAGATGTGTATGTGTGTATAGATGTAGAGATGGAGAGACTGAATAATGAATTGTAATTTTATAAGCTAAACTTTTTCTTTTTTGTTACTTAACTGTGTATTTGGTGTTGGAATAGCATTGTCTAATGTACCCAATCCTTTTTGACAAATTCAGTGCAAACTAGGTACATTTGCTGCTTTTTGTTAAAACGGTACATTTCAAGTAGTTGTTGACATCACACAGGACTGTGTTTCTGAGTACAAGACATCTGTTTGTAGGGGTGGTGTTTGATGTGTGTTTGACCAATCATACTGTTCTTACACCTCCACACCCTTCCCCCCCCCACTCCATTTAGGCTACGTTCAAACTGCAGGGCTTAATGCTCAATTTGGATTTGTTCGTGAAATCCGATTTTTTGCGAGGTCATTCACATTTCCAATTAAATGCGATTTGTATGTGATCTCCAGTGTGAACTTTAAACGCCCTAAAAGTGTCCCACATGCGCACTGGAGGAAACGACGATGTCACATGCAGCGAGTGTGCTCTGTGTTTATGGAAGTAGCCTAAACATAGAACGTTCATACACAATTTGCATATTACGAGAAGAATGTTTGTGCACATCTGTGACATGTAGGTGGGATGAATGTGACCTGGCCGTTCGGACTGAAGTCGCATGTCAAAAGATTGGATATGTATCAGTTTTAGGAGCACATATCCAAATGGCCTGGGTCGCATTTGAAAAAATCGGATCTGTGTCATTCAGACTGTCATTAAAAGACCAGATACAGGTTGCCTAGGGGTGAAAAAATTGGATTTGGGCCACTTCAGGCTGCAGTCTGAACGTAGCCTTAGTGTTCCAGGTACTGCCCAGTTTAGCAGCTCTATTTGGAATGTGGTTGTATTTGTCAAACTTGAATTTAGTATTTAGTAAAAACAGTAATAATAAAGTTGTATTGACCTTACTTTGTGCGTACTGGCTGTATTGGTAGGGCCCCACATGGTCCACGGTGTACGCAGGAGAGGTGTAGGCTGTGGGGGGGTGGTAGGACTGTGAGCTGGGCAGAGAGGGCAGAGCGGCCATGGAGGGCACGCTGCTCAGACCCTCCAGGCCCTTCAGGTGCTCCATGCGCTGGCTGCAATTTGATGCCATGCCAGCAGGGGGCTCGAGGGCGCCGGTGAGCGGGGAGATGGCGTAGTCGCTCTGGGGCTGGTGAGGGACTCCACCGTGGTTTAGCAGACCCATCACCTAGAGACATAGGAAAAAAAAAAAAGATTTATTTGGTAGTTCTGTTTATATATTAGGTTCTCAAGAGTATCAAAAATCAGATTTAATACCAAAACTTATATCAAAAGTAGATACTCATTTCAGGTATCAATATTACAAAAAATACATTAACATGACAAAATTTGAGCTTTCCTGAACAGTTTCAGTATGACTTTAAGTAGTAGTAGTAGCAGCAGCAGTAGTAGTAGTAGTAGTAGTAGTAGTAGTAGCAATAGTAGCAGTAGAAGCAGCAGTAGTAGTAGTAGTACTAGAAGCAGCAGCAGTAGTAGTAGTAGAAGCAGCAGCAGCAGCAGTAGTAGTAGTAGTAATAGTAGTAGTAGTAGTAGTAGCAGTAGCAGTAGCACTAGTAGTAGCAGTAAAAGTAGCAGCAACGGTATTAGTAGTAATAGTAGCAGTAGCAGTAGCAGTAGTAGTAGCAGTAGCGGTAGTAGTAGCAGTACTAGTAGCAGTAGTGGTAGTAGTAGTAGTACTGGTAGAAGTAGTACTAGAATAGTAGTAGTAGTAGCAGTAGCAGTAGCGGTAGTAGTAGAAGCGGCAGCAGCAGCAGCAGCAGCAGCAGTAGTAGTAGCAGTAATAGTAGCAGCAGCGGTATTAGTAGTAGTAGTCGCAGTAGCAGTAGCAGTAGTAGCAGCAGTTGTAGTAGCAGTAGTAGTAGTAGTAGTAGTAGTAGTAGTAGTAGTCCCAGTAGAGATAAAATCAGGCAAGAATATTACAACAACATTTTCATGGAAACAAGCAAAAAAGGCCAAATATGAGTCAGGTTTGTGGAGAGGCAAGCCCGCTTAAAGTAAGAACACATGCTTTTCAATGCAATAAACACAACTATGGAGAAAAACAACATACTTTTATTTTAGTATATTTTTGGCTAAAAGTTAAGTATAGGAAGTTACATGCGTTAAATGTACGATAGAGCTGTTTAGTGTCATACTGTGAATAATTCCAGGCAGAGCAATGACATCCCCGTAGAAACAAGAAGCTGACGTGTCATTACGGAAAAGTTACACATTGAGCAAACTGATCAAATATCTCAAACTTTTTCTCTTCAAATCCTGCTGCGTTGAGTTGCTTATTACATTTGGGTCTATCATTCTCACTGAGGAAATCCCCCACTGAGCCGATCAAAGGGCTACAGAGAGGGACATCCAAAGCGTAGGGGGCACCGTTGAGCACGAATTAACCAATTTGTACCAACCGCACAACCTCCCAAACTCCCAAACTCTTTTCTGACACCGCTACGAATGATAACGCAGACTTATCTCCGTGTTGTAGATATTTAAACACAGATAAGTTGATAGGAAAGAGACAGAATGAATACTGCCGTTTGGGAAATCCTCTGGCGCTTGTCCTGGTCCATATTAGCGTCAGATAATTCAATTTGAGGGAGATTTTTTTTTTTTTTTGGACAAAGAACGGATGGAAAAACACCAAAGGGCAAAGCAGACTCCAGACTAGGATTGTGTATTTAAGGGGACATAGGTCAAACGATTTGGTCTTTTTTTTTTAAATGTTGGGCTTTTGTTAGAGAAAATTAAGCTTTAACACTAAAAAAGAAAATAAAATCACTCTTAATAGGTGTTTTTTAGCTGAATTTCCTGACAAAAATTATAGACAGTGTATAAATTTATGGGACGATTTTTGCTGTATCTATCTATATGTTATTTTCTTTTTTAAATGTTGGGATTCTGCTACCAGCATTTAAACACTACAATTAAAAAAATAAAATAATCTTGAAGGTATTTTTTAACTTTTTTTTTTTTTTTTTAAATGTGCAAAGCCATGGTAAAAAATGCAGACAATGGGGCAATTATTGTTTGCAAAATGTTGACAAATCATTCATTAAAAGCTATTACAATCCAAACCTGAATTAAGGATATATAAAATTATTTCAAATGAACTCACTCCAATAGTTAAAGGTTGTAGGAGGCTTTTTTTTAGTTTCAAATTGTCAATGAAAGTTTAAAATACCATTATAGAGACGTAGCAGCCTTGTAATTATGATGACCAAAAAAAAAAAAGAATGAAAATCTATCAACTGTGGACGTAGAGAGGCCATATAAACATCAGCCAATAGATACCGAGGCTACCTCATTATCTATTGGCTGTTAGGTTGTCAATCAAACTCCCTACATTTCTAGTGTAACTGACTCGCCGGCGCGCTGGGATTACGTGGTTTATGCAGCGATTCTTAAAGGTTTTTTCGAACTGTAGCTTCCTCGCAGTTGGCACAAACTTAGTCAAGATGGTGGACAAGAATCCACGACCAGTTCGCCGCAAAAGAAAGTCCGTTTTTGAGGTTGCTGAAAGAAGAAGAGAAGGGGGAAAGGAGCAAAGCCAAACTGAGGTGATTCTTGGAGATCTCTTCCAGCGATGGCGCGACTGTAACAGACGAAGGGTCTAAAAACTGACGTATCGGTCGCTGAATTATTTCTAGACAGGTCACTTCAACAGTAATTCTGAACACGCACCGGCTGTCAGCAAGTGTGATTTCTAGAGTAAGGAGGCGGGAGGAGGTGTTTCTACTGAGGGAGATGTGGAGGAGGAAGGTGGTGTCATGTATGCGCAACATCTGAAAAAGGACTGTCGCTGTATTTCTCTTCTCTTAAAAAATCCTCTATACAACCTTTAAAAAAGAAAGAAAAAAGTGGAAAAAACACACAGAAATAGATGATATATTTGTATATTTTTTAACATAATGATTTTTTTCCTTTTATGTTGATTTTATATTTACTTTTGTGGTCCATATATACTTGAGTGTTATTATCTCTAGGCCATAGTGCATCATACAATTTTCATTTCTGTCTTGTTTTTCATGTTGTTTCCATTCTTCTTGGAGGCTGATGTTTCTTTTTTTTTCTTTCTCTTATCCATCTATTAGGGATGAAACACGAGATCGGGTCCATGAGAACAAGACAAGAGTATTTTTGAGGTTCAGTTTACAATTTTTTCCTGACAATTTTTTATTTACTATTTAATATTTTTGCTGCTGGCTTTTTGGAATTACAGCTTCTGAAGAAAAGTAACTCGCTTACACTTAAACACATGGGGGAATAATAACAAAACCTGTTCTTACCTATCTATTTATCCATCTATCTGTCTATCTATCTACCTTTCTCTCTATCTCTGCATCTCTTGTGTTGTGCCTATTGGCCTCCTGCTGTTTCTAATGCGTTACATCCCTGCTCTGTGCTCTGATACTGCTGGGGATGGTTACGAGGCTGAGGGCTGTGCTTGGGTCTTTTAACGCAGACCAGGTCTAACCTCCTCTGGCTCTGAGCGCTGTATTACTGCACACACAAGGCCCACATGGTCCTGCTTAAGTCATTTCCCAACAAGAGGAGACACACAGGAGAGAGAGGAGAGAGTGAGGAGAGAGAGAAGAGAGATTGGAGAGCTACCTAAACCTGATGATGAAAGATTTGGTTGTAATGTAAGCGAAGAGAGCTATAGACTAATAAACTAATGTTATATCACTATCTGGAAGTATTTGAACTACTGACTATTTTTGGTGTGCTTATATAATTATCTTTTCTTGAACTCCTTTTAATTGGAAAATCTTATATTTTTGCATGCTGCTCTTTACTTGATCTGAATTGTGATTTCTAAACTTTCTGTCAACAGTAAAAAAAGTATAGGTCAGTGTAGCATTCGTTCTTTTGAATTTCAATGAAGAATTAAGTAAAATGGTAAAACAGTTTGTTATTTCATTTTTCCATTTTAGTGTCAAACAAAAAAAACATATTTCGACCTCTATTTCCAATATTTAATTAAAATTTAAAGTCTCTGTGCCTATTTTAATTTGGATATTTTATTCTCTCCCCAGAAGTTCTGCTGCTCAACCCCCGCATCTGTAATAAAAGCTATTTTTCTATGGAGTGAACTGAACAAAGTTTATCGGTGCTACTTGTTTCTCGTCATGGAGTTCAACAATGACTTTTTAAGGCACAAAAGTAAATGCGTCGCTATAAAAGAAGAGAACATGTTTGTCCACAAAATTGCAATGATTTTTCAGGTAAATCGTTCTAGCAGCAGAACTTCTGGGGCAAGTAAACCAGAGAGAATCAAATATCAAAACTGAAATAGGCACCGAGACTGTTTTTTGATTGGTGTTATTTGAACTTTAAATTAAATATTGGAAATAGAGGTTGAAATCTTGAAATAATGAAATAAACTGTTTTCCCATTTTATTGTTTTTCATTCTTAATTGAAATTCATAAGAACAAATCGTACATGGACCAGCACAGTGCCCCATCTTATAAACTTACAAATAATGCAAAGCAATATCACAACTTGAACATGATTGCACTCTATAATTCTCATAATGCATTAGTAAAAGATATTGGTGATCATTAGATCCTGCTTTCAAACCTTATCAAGAGCATGTTAAATATTTAGGTCGCTCTGAGTTCTCCAATATCCTTCATTGAAGAAGGCTCTTTGTGATTGTCTCTGCTCTATAGTTATACATAATCTATGACACCCGTGGATTATTGTGTTACATTTTGGAAATTTTAACTCAAAATATTGATCTAAAACCACTTAGTAAAAGAAAAAAGTCCACTGACTCCTGCATTGGACAACGGTGGGGTCTAATGGGAGCAGACATTGACATACACGTCATCACAACAAAAAGCTGTCAGCACCTCCGATGAATAACTGCACATCACGCTAGCAAGAAGTAGCTTAAATTAAATAACGAAGTAAGTACAGAGCAGTGGGCGTATGCTGGTGATGGTGAAAGTGGGGGTTCAAATAACATATGGATAATAAGCAATTAGGCATTGCTCAAACATGCACAAATCACTCTAAATACAAACTTTGAGAGGGTATATGAGAAGAAAAAAAGAACAACTATAACATGATTAAAAGCTCAAAAAAGTCAAAGTCAAAAAAAGTGCAAAATACACCTGGGTGTCTTGATGCTGCATTGTGATCTTGCTGCATAGACAAATGGGTCAAATGTAGGGCTGTGCATTCGATCCAATTTAACCAACACTGAGTCAGTCATTTTTAATCTTCACTGATCAGCTTGCTTCTTTTTAATGGAGAGCTCCAAAGCCAATCCTCTAATAATAAAAGAACGTGGTCTGGCTGTTAATAAAAGTCTGTCTTGTTTATCTTCATCAAGTTACTAATGAAATCAATCAAATGCAAAGAAGAAAAAAATAGAAAAACATTGCTGCTAAAAGCACTTGTACATTTCTGAGTGCTTTCGTCATGTTGTCTCGTCTCTGTCCCAAACACATGTGGACCACCATCGCTCCGGGGCATCTGGACTAAACAGGAAGAATGTCGGGACTTCAGAGGCTGTCCATATGAAGTACGCACAAATACACGGCAAATACACGCCATTCAAACACAGGAATGTCCAACCAAATATGTAGAGAATGCTTCAGAGGCCTCGAGGGACCATATTTGAACACAAACGTTATGAGGTGGTATCTAGGTACACAATTGTACTGCAGTTTGTTTAGGTCATGTGTATGATAAGTCTGTGTGCGATATCATAACATCTGATTTACGAGAGGCGAAGAGATAAGTAAAAGGTTCAATAGCGAAAGTACATGTCAAAATGTAATGAAAGAATATACAAAGTGTTTGATAAATTTGACAAATACAATGACATTTTTAAACTAAAAGTAAGCGTTCAAATAGGGACTAAAAACCTAGGCCAAGGCATTTATCAGTGAATCAGAGAATTAAATTCTATTTTCATATTAAATAAAATATGTTTATCTATTAGTCTGATTCTGTTTTAAAGAAAAAAAAAAGTTATTTTGTGTCAAATTTTAGACCAAATTTCCGAACGGTTAAAAAAAAAAAAAAAAGGGTAAAATTGAAATGGCAATATATATTCAGACTAATTTTGTTTCCCTTGATGCTTTAAATAAAAATGTAGATCACTGCTTTTTAATAGAATATGCGTCTTTTCATACACATGCTGAAAATATTACTAATCTGTATTGCTCATTTTTGCTATGTAAAAAATGATATAAAATATGTATTCCTTGCAATTACAAACAGTTTAATTTTCTATGATAATCGCATTATCTGGTCTTCAGGTCCTCTGTTGTTTCTGTCTTGTCTCCTACATTTGAATTAAACAAAGAAATTACCATATAAAGGCTTTTAAAATTTGACACGTAACTTGTAGATTTTTTAAAATTTGTCATAAAAGGCGCTAATACCTGATTTTTACTATAAAAAATGTGAAAAACCAAACATTTTTCAATGATTTGCAGTGGTTCTTATGCATTCAAAGCATCCTATGTTTTTGTTTTTTGTTTTACGCTATAAGTTTCTCAGCATTTTTCACGACGTTTTTTGTCATGATGGTAAAGTTAACAACAACTAGCATGTGAACGTGTACTTCATAATTAACGAACAATAAAACACTTTCTAATTAAATGCAAACATGACACAGCAGACTTATTTTGACTTCAAGAGCTGCTTATACAACATATCTGTAGTGGGGTAAGACAATTTTCACCTGTGGAGAGAGTCCGTTGCCTAGTGCTTGGTTGATAGGGTTGGCTGGTCCTCCGGGGCTCACGAAGCCATCGGAGTACCCAGAGAAGGAGTGTCGTCCCGGGGCCAGGCAGTAGGCCGTGCCCCCCTCTCCCTGGGTCCCGCTGGAGCTCTGGTGTCCTGATGAGGGGGGCAGAGGCTGGGGACGGTGCACTGTACTGGGGGGGTCTGAAACTGGAGACGACAACATATTTCAATATTATACACTGCTTTTTAAAGGTGCGTTGTGTCACTTTTCTGGTGGAGGGTCCGTCAAATGCTTTATTCCATGGAGATGTTAATGATTGGATATTGTTGTCTGTACAAAAGCGGCTGGCCACTTTCAAATTTCCATCAGGAAGTCTATCTGTCAGAATATCTTAACACATTTTTAGAACTACAGTAAACAATATATTCAAATTCATTTATGGAAAGTGTAGTTATTGTTACATGAATTGAAAGGTACAGTAAAGTTTTCGTCCATTTTCACAGGAGTGGAAATCTGAGGTATTTTGAAATAAGTGTAGAGTCATGACTAACTCTCTTTGACTGCTTGTGTATTTTAAAGGTTAAGAGAAATTTGGGGAAAAGAATATGCTGTAAAATTTGTTTTATGCTTCTGTATTTTTTGGGGTTTCTGAGAGTTTTTGTAGTAGTAGTAGTAGCAGTAGTTGTAGTAGTAGTTGTAGTTGTTGTTATAGTTGTAGTTGTAGTTGTTATAGTTGTTGTAGTAGTAGTTATAGTAGTAATAGTAGTTGTAGTAATTGTTGTTGTCGTAGTAGCAGCAGTTGCAGTTGTAGTAGTTGTAGTAGTAGTTGTAGTAGTTATAGTAGTAGTAGTAGTTGTTATTGTTGTTGTTGTAGTTGTAGTAGTAGTTATAGTAGTTATAGTAGTTGTAGTACTAGTTGTTGTAGTAGTATTTGTTGTAGTAGTACTTATAGTAGTAGTAGCAGTAGCAGTAGTAGTTGTTGTTGTAGTTGTTGTACTAGTAGTAGTAGTTGTTGTAGTAGTACTTATAGTAGTTGTTAGTTGTTGTTGTTGGAGTTGTAGTAGTTATTGTTGTCATTGTTGTTGTAGTAGTAGTTATAGTTGTAGTAGTTGTAGTAGTTGTAGTAGTAGTTGTAGTACTAGTTGTTGTAGTAGTTGTTGTTTAGTAGTAGTAGTAGTAGTTAGTAGTAGTAGTAGTAGTAGTTGTAGTAGTAGTAGTAGTTAGTAGTAGTAGTAGTAGTAGTAGTAGTAGTAGTAGTAGTAGTAGTAGTAGTAGTAGTAGTAGTTGTTGTTGTTGTTGTTGTTGTAGTAGTAGTTGAGTAGTAGTAGTAGTTGCAGTTGTAGTATTAGTAGTACTAGTACTAGTAGTAGTAGTAGTAGTAGTAGTAGTAGTAGTGGCATAAATTGGCCCTTACCTTGTGCTATAGATGAGGGTGGGTAGGAGGTCTCTGAGAGCTGGTACGGCTGCAGACTGGACATGGCGGAGGGAGGGAAGCCCCCGGGGATCAGGTGATTAAACGCCATCAGCTGATTGGCTCCTGCCTGCTTCCTCCAGCGCGCTCGCCGGTTACTGAACCAAACCTACAACAGACACACGAGGTACGATAGTAATTGTATACAAATAATACAAAGAAATGATCTATTGAGTGATGTTTAGTGCCTTTTAGAATAGTGAATTTTAGAGTAACCTGATTGAATAAAGAAAAGAAAGTCATTTAGCTCTTTCTAGATTTGTTGAATTGTATTAAAAAGATGCATATTGCAAATGAATTGAACCTTGTTTAGTCCTGGTTACAGTACACTAATTTACTATGGCTGTAGAGGTAATCGGATTTCAATCAAGATCAAGATTCAGTCATTTCTAATCGTCAAAGATCAGCTTGGATCCTTTTAATAGAAGTTAAAAGTGGTTAAAAGTCAGTTGAGGAAATTAATACTGAAAATGTGTTTTTATAGGAGAAAAAAATTAAAAAGCGAGAAAAGTCAATACAAGAAAGTACTGAGGAAATATTTCTCAGCACTACCATTTACCAATTCATAATTTTTTAATTTATAGTTTTCAAACATAGGTACATTTTACTTGCAATTTATGTTTTAATAATAAAATACCGGTAGTATGAAATGACAAATTAATACAAGAGTCACATTTTAGAACATTTTTAAAGGGCCAAAACTACATGTTTAGCTGTTTTTATTGACAATAATTAGATTATTTGTTTTATTTCAAATGTGCATCTTTAACATAATGGATTTTGACAATGAAGGTAAAGAGTAGAAAATAAAACACACAAAAAAACAAAACAAAGCTATATATATATATATATATATATATATATATATATATATATATATATATATATATATATATATATATATATATATATATATATATATATATATATATATATATATATATATATATATATATATATATATACATATATACATATATACCTACATACACACATACCTTGTACATATACACATACATACATATATACACATACATATACACACCTACACACCTGTATACATAAATCTAGCCATCTCAGATAAGACATTAAATACAGTATTTCTAAGTGTGAGTGGGACGAAGTGCGACCTTATAAGCCCCCCCCATATTTTGTAATTTATGGAGGAAATTATGGTACTTCAGATTTTTCAGCCTTTGAGATGTGCTAATTCAATTCATTCAAAAGCTTCAAAAAATAACAAGCTCAAAAACTATACTCAAATGACATGACATGACTGCATAAGAACAGAGCGTGAGTCCATCTGCTTAACCCTTCCCCATTTGAATTCTACGGGGAAAGATTTACACTATTTTACAACGGTCTGAATGTGCAGGAGGCGAGGCAGAGCTGGACTACAGGGACAGTGGTCAGATCAGTGAGTGTGGCTGTGTGGGCCCGGATGATCCTCAGCAGGTTAGAACAGTTAAATACAGGGAGAGTCTGTTAAATAGACTTTATAAAAAGGCGGGAGAAATGCGATGTTTGCTCAGATGTGATGCAGAACATTTTACGGCTCGCTGTAAAACCACGAGAGAATTCAAACCATGTGAGGCTACGAGGATAACGCGTTTCACATTTAGAGCAGAGGAGTTGGCTGAGCCAATGGAAGCATATTTACAAACATTTGTAGAAAGAAAAAAGAGAATTTTGAAGTAAAAATAATTGTTTATGACTAATTTCTTTCATTACTTTCCGTTCTGTTTTAATAATCAAGTCTTTGTGTTTGATTTAAAGTATAAATTTTATAATGAAAAACTGAAGTAGGTTGACGCAAGATTTTTTTTCTTCTTTTTTTGCAAGTCACCTGTACTCTAACCTGACCTGACCTACAGCTTTCACAAAGGTCAGATTTTGTGTCAATTTCTACCTATTCTCAGATCATAAACCTCTCCGGTCACAATCCTTCAGTTGTTTTAGAAACAGCTTTTTATTGTTAGCTTTGGCTCTAACTACTGAGGCTAAACCATAGATCTATAATAAAAACCGGATAATGCATTCCCCCAGTGTCCCCGCTCCAGACGACTTGTGGTCGTTCCAGGTACTGCAGCTCCCGAGAGCTTGGGCCCAGTTTTTGGGAATTCAAACTGCCTGAGTTTGGCTGACAGAGCATCGACAGCTTTGCGGGAGGCGCTAGTCACTACTGAGGAAGTAAATGCGGAAGTGAACATTTTTTTTGGGCCCATGGTCCATTGAGCAAAAACCATTGAAAACAATATGATACCATCTTGGATTCATCTTCCAGATTTTATTATATTTCTATGGGCCAAACTCCCAACACAAGCCACTGAGCTCTGCCCATTCACTTAAAAGAGCAGCCTTGCTTGAACCTTGATGATATCTGGGTAGTGTCTTTCTAAGCCTCTGCTCTCTGTGCTAGCTCCTCGCACGAATATATGTCTTTATAGATCTTTTTCACAATGGCCGGAAGTGGCCTGGTGTATGGTTTGCCAAACTTCTGGTTAATGATTTTCTGTGGCAGAATGTGTGCCCCATCACCAAATCTTCAGCCAACAAGGTCCACAAAGGATAAATATTCTTCCATGCAGAATTTATCCACAACTATCAAGGTAAGAAAGACAAATGTTTAAAGGTGAACACTGACTATTATTAGCGAACTAATAACTACTATTATTACTGATTACTGATTCTAGAATAAAAAAATAAAATAAAAAAAATTAAAAAAAAGATTTCATGATGTCAATATTAGGGTAGATTTGTGCAGTTCAAATGCGAGACATGTCTGTAACATAAATTTTGCTCAGGAGTAGTTCACTAATGTGTCGTCGTTGTTCGCCTTTAAGTTTTTGTCTTTCTTACCTTGATAGTTGTAGATAAATTCTCCATGGAAGAATGTTTGTACTTTGTGGACCTTCATGGCTGAAGATTTGGTCATTTTGCTATAGAAAAACCATTAAGTAGTTGTGCAGACCTATAGCGGGGAACTTCTGCACGTTGTAAATAGTCTATTGTGTATGATAGCTTAGTCTCTGTAAGCTCACCTGTACTCTCGCCTCTGTCAGCTTCGCCCTCTGTGCCAGCTCCTCGCGGGTGTAGATGTCTGGATAGTGCGTGCGTTCGAAGGCTCTCTCCAGCTCCTCCAGTTGCTCTGCGGTGAAGGTGGTTCTGCTGCGGCGCTGTTTCCTCTTCAGCGGCAGGTCGGGCTCAGACTCCACCTCTGAGCCGTCGTCCGACTGAGGAGCTGGAAAAGGAACAAAGATACAGAGTTAACAAAGTTTGACTTCAGTTTAGATTCACTTTAAATGCATACATTTGTGTAGTGATTTTCTACTCCCAAGATAGAGCTGAATGACTCTGGAAAAATGTGTAACTGGAATTTTTCAGACAAACATTGCAATTGAGGTTTATTTTTTAATAATAGGATCCTGTTCAAAGTTCACATTTTAAACATGCTCAGAAAAACTGGCAAAATTGGCCGCGCGCCTGTTACCATTCACTCGTGTGTTGTGTCGGGGCTGGGTGTGTCTGAGCTGCTGCAGGTAGGCGATTATTGCTCTAAAAACTCACTGTTTCGCTCTAAAAGTATATTAAAGTAACTCTTATGCCATCAACTTCCCTAGATGCCTCTTGCGTTCACGATGAAGTGCTGTCGTGATCCTTTGAGCTTAAACTAAGTGGAACTGGTGAGTGAACTTTGTTTGTTGCTGTGCGGAGCTAATGCTAATGCTAATGCTAGCGCTCCACATAATACATTCAATACGGAGCTGTGAGCTGGTGCTGGTGCTAGCCTCACTTGTTCACATTCATTTATATGACCGCTTTTAAAGGCGATATGTATATATATTCTGACTAATACAATTTATTCTTTTTTGTGCTTATATTGACAACAAATAATGATTGATATGACCCTGTTAAAATGTTAACTTAAATAATTTTAAATGAGATATTACCTGTTGTTGGAAATATTTTACAACGGAGTACTCTTGATATTGACCAATACTGATACATGTACATGGATGGAATAATTATTCTGATTTATTATGACAAAATGTTATAATGTTTGAAAATGATTTATAGTGACTTAGTTGTACTAAATAATTTTATTACTCACTGCTGGTCCTGTTTTGCACAGGCCAGGTCCCAGAACTGAACTTTTCCAAAACTGGACTCTCCGGAAACTGGACTTTCCAGAACTCTCCAGAAACTGAACTCTCAGACACTGGATGGCGAGCTAAGGCCTAGAGCCCGAACCAAACCAAGAGTGCAAACATCTGCCGGTGCGGTAGGAGGCGTAGCAGCCGCTCAACCACACACACACTCACACACCCATTGGGCCCCTCATAGACTTTTCTGGAAATCACTCACCTTACCATAACCATCTCCGGAACTCTCTCTTTTGCCTTTCACTTAACTCTGTGTGGATTATATTAACACTTGCTGCTGCTCAACTGCAATTGGACTAAGGACTAGAACTCATTGAACCCCTCATAGACTCTGAACTTAATCACACAAATGTGCACATCTGTAAATATTGTAAATACTGTCTGTTGGTACACTGTAAATAATAACACCACAACTAAGCACTACAATCTTGTGTAAGTGTTTCATTAAACACCTCTCTTCCCTCCGAGCCGAACCCTGTCTTCTGATCTAGCCTATTACCATTACTATTTTTGTTATCACTATTACTACTACTACTATACTTCCTTCTGTGGCATTGTATAAGTGCTACATTTGTCTCAAGGCACTGAAGCATTTTACCACTCACCCATTCACACACACAGTCTCACACACACTGGGGGCTTAAGTGTCTTGCCCAAGGACACATTAACAGTATTCATCTGTGTGACAGTTGGGACTAGCCTGATTCATCAGCCGCTTTCACTTCGTAGAAACTGTTTGACCTCGCAGTGTTAGAATTCATTCGCTCGATGGTAGGCGGGTACTTTATAATTTAACCAATCGCTGCTATTTGGTCGTGACGTATGTAACGCGTCGCTAATGGGGCTAACTGGTATATTAAGCTTTTCCCAAGTCCCGTAGGAAGAAGGACAATAACGTCTTTCCCCTTGATGAAATTAACCAAACATTCTCTTTTTTCCGGTTTTAAATCCTCAATCTCGGGAATCGTTGCCAACACAGAATGTACGGCTCTTCCGGGGTATTTGCAAACCGTCTAGTGTATTTTGATTCCTGACTTAGTCGCTGGAGAGAAATGAAATTGAGTGGAGGCACTAGGTGGCACCAGCTTGGCTAAGTTTGGATCCATCCACCACCAACAATGTTTATGACGAGAGCGAGATTTGAACTCGCAACTTTCAGCTCAGAGGATGAACGCTCACTGTCACCCTTTACATCACAACATTCTAAACTGCCTACAGTGAATTTGAAGTTTAACTGTAAAAATGCCGATATTGAAGCTTTCCAAAATGAAAAACAGAAAGTTAAACAACTTCTCTGTCAACACAAATGAACTAAAGTGGAATTATTTTTCATGTTAACTTCAAAAAGTATTCAACTTCAAAGACGTGATTGTTTTCTGTTGAAAGGACCTGAAGCTATACCAAGTTTGTGACCCCATTCCCTGACAACAACAACAACAAAAGCACATGGTTCAACATTTGTGGATTTTTATTTCATATATTTCTTTCAACAACATTGAATTTCCTATAGAGTTATATAGACCCCTGCCCTCCATTTGAAATCAGGATTGTGTTCAGTTGATTCAATATAATTAAATAAGTAAGTAGCCTATAAAAAAGTCCAAAGATTCAAGATTAAACTTTCTTAAGCCTAAGAGTTTGATGTTTAATTAGATTATGTTCACCTGATTACAGCCATTCACACTGCCTTAAGAAATCCGGTAACTTCAAAATGTAGTAAAAGTATATATAAACACAGGATTAAATCTGAGCAAATTTTGAGTTTGATGTTAAATGAGATTATGTCCAGCGGATTAAAGACATTGACCGCTCATAAAATCATATAGTTTAGTTTGAAAAGGTGTCATACTGTGGCATTATAAGGCTAACGGTAGGTTTGTTGCTTGGTTTCAAATTTTCAAATTTCATATCAGTTTCACATTCTATAGACCAGTAATATTTAATACAGATGGAGGGCAGCAAAAATTAATATTGTTAAAATGCAGATTTTTGTTGTAATACAGTGATTTCTTGAGTCTAATCAGTAACAGAAATTATGAGGTTCAACATTTGTGAATTTAACTGTTGGGTATTTCATTGCAATTTCAGTGTAATCAATATGAAAAATTGTCTCTTGCCCCCAATATGGAAGTATGATAGCTCCAATCTTCAAACTCTAGAAAATGAAAATCACTAGTTCAAATCTATCTTGAATAGCAGTCATTTGAATTTATTGCTTCTGCTAAATACAGCAACACCCAAATACGGGAACCAGGGTTAAAATATTTCCCAAATTTATAAATTTAAGTTTAATTTTTGGTCCTGTACTCATTTTCTACCATCTTAATAATACGAAGAACAGACCATTTTAAACTGTTCCAGACTTATTATATATGCACATTCCTACCCTCAAATTCTTCACGTCACAGAAATGTTAACTACTAGCAAGCTAACAGCACACCAGTGTTTCTTCTAGGTTTGTGGACCATAAATGTATTTTATAGTTAGTTAGCACACACTGGTCTGATTTAGGCCCCAGGAGCTGCTTTTACAGGCAAGACATATTTTTAATGCCTTGTTTAGAGATCTGCACAAGGCAATAGGCAAAGATTGTGGAAAATTGTACAAAAACATTTTCAAATGGGTTTTTCAAATGTCTCATCAAATTACCCACTTGCAATATGTCTTGGAATAATCATCAAAGGACTAATCAGAAGACAATCTGGTATCTACAGTGACAGAAGTTCAACAAAAATACACATATAAAACAAAATTACTACTTAAAAAAAAATTCTAATAATCTTTAACCCTTGCAGTTAAGTTACATTTCACCAGTTATAACCCTTTTTACACTAGCAGGATTAAGTCTATCAGGAGCCTGCGTTCTTGGGGCAAACAAACCTCCATTCACAAAAATATTCCGAGTCGTAGCGATAATCCGTCTGATGGAGGCTCCCAGGGCACCGTAGGGGATTGGGATAAAGAGCCCAGAATAAAACCACAGATTTGGGTCTGTGTGAGAGAGAGGGAGCGGTGACAACCAAAACACGTTTCAGCCTGGACTATTCCAATTTGTAACATTGTTTTTTTTTTACAAATGAATCTATTATTATTATTATTTGCACTGGCTGATTATAGAAACTAAGCCAGTCTTGTTCAAACAGGTGCTTACTTTTTCTGTTAATGTATTTTTACTACAGTATTTATTTCGTTTTTAAAGGCGCATTTAGTTGTTGAGGGTCCGCCAACTGCTTGAAAAATAATTATGTTGCCTGGAATGTTCCACAGTCTGGTATTGAACTTTTCTATCTCCATGTAGGCAAGTTTACACATAGCTGGGTATGTTGAGAAATGACTATTTCCCTCCGTCTGTTTTCCAAAATAACATTGTGCACATAGCATTATTTTCAAAAAAGTTTTAGTTTACATCAACCCACATAAATACCCCATAAAGCACCATAATAACTACGCCAAGCCTCTGGGCGGCACCTGGATTTAGATCCTAACCTGTAGCATTTATTTCATTACAATTGTAAGTATTACTCAGAAATACCTTGCAGCAGGCTCGCCTCTCCACAGATGTGTTAAAGAAGTGGCAAAATTGCTGACCTCCGAGCCCTCATTTGTCTCTGGTCATGGATATGATAAAAATGATGCAAATGCAAACACAAGAGAAGTGTTTGCACTAGAAGAAATGTGACTGCTGCTCTGAATGCTTCATCATCATCATAACAAAAAGGGAAACATTGGTCGCACTTTTGGCGCGTTAGCTCCTAAAACTCTGTTTATCTCACTTTACACGCAAATGCCAAACTGGAGTTTTCCAGAATCTTCACTCTAGCCAGAGTTTTTAGACATATTCGTTTTCAGAGGCAAATTTACCGTTTGCGTGTAAATTTGTGTACAGACGAAGGGAAATATCTCCATTTTTAAAAATACCCATGTACGTGTAAATGGGGCCGTAGACAAGCAAGTGACACCAAAAAACCAAGTGGCATTCCACCTTGTTCCACCTTGTGATGTCATGAATTGGTAGTTTTCAAGTTAACATTTACCTTTAGTTCAGTGGAGAGTGTTTGAAATCATCCAAATGTTTTTA